TCAATGGCGCTCGTGCATCCAAGCTATTGCCTTCAATGCATAGCTCCTTTTCCAACCCCCCTTCACTTGACAGCCCACTGACAGTGCTGGATTTATGCACCAATTTATCAGCTCCCGCCTGCAATGCGTAGCTGCCTATCCCTCCCCCCAAATCACCAGTGAACGAAACTGCGGCAGCTGCAACCACTGTACGACGAGTATGCAGTTATTACAGCTGACAATGATGATGATGATTAGTGCTTTTTCGTTTGGTTTGGAACAAGACGGACCTACCAACATTCGCCTGTCATTGGTACCGAAAGCATTCAAATACAGAAGCAGGTAATTGTGCTAATGGTGTCCTTACAGCTGACAATGATGATGATGATTAGTGCTTTTTTGGATCGTTTGGAACAAGACGGACCTACCAACATTCGCCTGTCATTGGTACCGAAAGCATTCAAATACAGAAGCAGGTAATTGTGCTTGTCCAATGGTGTCCATGAGGAATCTTGTCAAACAAATTGATAGGAGTATTTAAGGGGCAGAGTGATGTCCTCTCGTTCGAACAACGCACTGGAACTTCTTCGCTGACCTCAATTTCCTCAAACAAATGCAATCACCAATTTTTTTTGGTTGCGAGACACATGCTGATGAGGACTGTCAGCGGTTTGTCAATAAATATCAGCGCATATTTTGAGTAACGTGAGTGCTTCTTCATGAAGTCCTGATTATCCCTTCTTTGGACAGACAGAGGGACGTCCATCAGTTTGTCATTATTCCCTGGAGCCAGAAAGTTTAGCTCGGAAAGAGATGAAACCTTTTTTCCCGCACAGGAAGACATTAGCATGGTAGATGACGGCGTTGTTTTCCAGACGGATTCTTTTCAGTAGCAGTTGGTTCATTTTAATCCCCCACTCCTTTACAGCTGGTTGTGTGACGCCTGTCTGTGCGGATGTTGGTTGGTTTTCCTTGGCTCATGTCCATGCACATCTGTCGAACTTCTCAGCTAGCTCGCACGCGGCCTTGGACTGAGTTGGGTCCATAAAACTATGTCGGGCAACAGCTGTTCGGTCTGTGACAAAACCTTCCAGAATGTTAACAATCGCCTCCTGACCTGTGGTAATTGCGCCCTATTCGTCCACCAGGGATGCTATGGGGTGCAGAAGGTTGATGGAGTCGTCAATTGGTTTTGTCGAAAGTGCGAATCCCAGGTTAGACAGAGCAAAATAGTAAGTCAGATAATGCACACTTCGTTGCTAAAGCCTTCCTGCAGAGGTGCGAGCTGTGCCCAATCAAAGAGGGTGCTTTCAAACGGAGTAGCGGTGCAAGATGTGGTAAGTTTTGTTTGTTAGCTTTGTATGTCGCGCTGTTATCTCTGAACACAGGATGGGCACATATGTTATGCGCCTTCTTCATCCCCGAAGTATATTTCAAAGATCCCGACACGATGGATTTGATAATGTTGGAGAACGTTCCAGCTGATCGGTTTGGCCGGGTGAGTTCATCGTTCCTTTCTTCCCTCCCCCCACAAACATGTCCATTTTATTTGTTCTATTACTGTGAGGTTCCCGTGTAACCATGAGTGAGTCATACCACCAGCAGGCTGGTCAATCAGTAGAGGTCACACTAACACAGTCTTTTCGGATTCGAGGTGAGAATATGCGTGTTGACGTGTTCTTTAGAAGTTGGACTACTCCGGCAGTCTTACATCCACCACTGCTGCTTCGGGTTAAGTTTTTGGTTGTTCTCCTATCTGCGTTTCGTTGCCTTGCCAGTGTCTCTCTCGTCCAACTGTGAAGTGTATATAATGCACCCCAAAGTGTTCATTTCATTCAATTCCATTTTACCTATTCAATGGGTACTGATCACCAAAGTAAATTTTGAATTTACAGCTTTTATTGGGAGCAAACGATATAAAACGTGCGGGTCTTGTTATCACCGGTTTTGCAAGATTAATCATCGCACGTGTGATTTTGAGCTCAAAAGGTCATACACTCAAGTCTGTCGCATTGAGTGATCATTTTCAGGAGCTTCTCATATTTGTCATTTTCATGCCGGCTAAAAGAGGGTTGCGAAATTTAGCACCCCTACTATATTGACATACCCTCCTATTGGGCACATTCGATCAGATCGGTCCTGCACACCGCTGTGAAGCCTGGGTCTCCACGTTTATTGATTCCGAATGTGTGTATTTCGTGAACACTAAAGAAGTACAACCAGGTGTTTTGGCCGCTGAGTTCGTGCACGAAAAACGACGGAACGGTTGCACCACCAAGTCCAAGACGGCCACCGAGACATACCGAACATAGAGGAGGTTTGATCGAACAATTGCAATGGCTTCAGAAGGATGGTAAATACTTAAGGGAGATTAATTTGATGGCATGTGGCGAGATGTTTTTCTAGGGAAGGTTTCCTGTTGTAAGGTCATCCACTATTTTGAGAAAGACAATTTCAGAACAAAATGTGAATGTGTGCCCGTTATAGTGCTACGATAATTATCGATTCTGCCAACGTGTAAACTGGCATGCAAAGTAGGATTTAGTCCCAATGACTGGAACGGTGCCCAGCAGACCGCCCACTGCGGCACCATCGACTTGCTGTTAAGGCGAATTCAAAAGCTTCGGTGCACTGGGTAGTAGTGTGTTATTAAACCGTCTGGATTGCAAGACAATTTTGCCACGTAATCAGGCTTCACCTACGGTCGATAGTCTCGTTTAGTGAAACTTTGGTACAGGCAGACTCTGGTATGGCAGTGAAGCATCAGTGTTGAACACCAATATCGTTCTGTTCATGATGATGATGATGACAGGATGATTGTGCATTTAGTGAACATATGCACTATTTCTTGAGAACAAGAGCTGACCGGTCAGCGAGATATAATGAGGCTGTAGAAATGTATCCATCAATCTCTTTGACTACTGGCTTCAAAGTAGTAAAAAATCGTGCCAGTTCATGTTATGATTTGTTTGACGTGACTAGAACTGGCTGCAACGGTTCACCCAACTTATGAGTCTTTCATCTGGCGTGAAGCGTCCTTATCATCATTCTAAATGTGCCTAGGGGAAAACCGAAGTAGCGTGCTCCATTGCTTTCCACTTTACCGATAAGTTGTTTCGACAAGCTGAACTTCTGTGTCATTTGGGTTGTTGTCTTCTTCCTGTTCGGGAAACCGAAGTAGCGTGCTCCATTGCTTTCCGCTTTACCGATAAGTTGTTTTGACAAGCTGAACTTCTGTGTCATTTGGGCTGTTGTCTTCTTCCTGTTCGGCACCCGAGCTTCCATCCAGTTTCGAGACAAAGATGTTTCTCAGCCTGTGTTCGCGTTTGGCATCAAGGTGCTGCTTGTTTAGATCATAGTTGTTATTCGGATGGATTTCCAGGAAACTGCGAGACAGGATATCTCCCAGAAACGGGGTCTACTTACCAAGACTATGGAGCAAAAGGGACATCTTTACGGACATAGGTTCAAAACAGGGTTTAACCCAGCAAGCAAACTGATTCAAATAGAGCTTCCTCTTAATGGAGACGGTATGATGATAACAGCAATTCAACGCTTAAACTTGACACTCAAACGGAAATGCGGTGCGACAGAGATACGCGTTCCCAACCAGAAGAACTATCAAACTACCCGAAGTAAACCACATTGTGTACGCTAACTTGATAGTAGCCGTGGAGCCAAGGAGACTAGCGTGTGCAGTAACGGTCATAACTGTGAAATGGGAGACCATGTACTTGTTTGGGTCTGAAGTCGTTTTTCTCAAAATGCTGGGTGTAAGCGCGATGAACATCGTAAACGAGAGATTCAGCTGGGTTTTAGATGAGCCTCCCGTAAAAACCAAATCGGTATGCAAATGAGTGTATCTGTCAAATGCCGTGCAATTTGGATTCAAATTGAACATAAGTCGACGGAAACTCGGTAACCTTGTCTACATGGTGAGCCCCAAGAAGGACGAAATCGGTCGTGGTGTGTTGCGTCTTCACAAAAGCCACCTGTCCTCAGATTGACCTCACTTCAATCTCTGCCATCTCTTCTCATCGTAACTCACTTGTTCTGGTGTTTGCCGAGTCTATCTGTACCTATTCTGCGCTCAAAAGCAACTCGATATGACCCTTAGATTACCCAGCTGAGCTTCCTATCTATTCGGTACTAAACTCATCTTTCCCATAATTGGCAGGACCGAATGCTCATATCTAGTGGTCTGCATTTTCTCACCGTTTTCAAACTTTTAAACAAAATGACTGTTATGAAACATAATACCTCATCCTTGACCGAACAAAATAATGTTAATTTTCACCATCCTTTTAAGTAAACAGTGTTGTTCATACTTACATTATTATGGAACTTCGAAACAACTCTCGGAAGTCGCTGGTAGAGTCAGATATCTGTCGGCGGACTGTTTCACAGGTAAAAAGCTATCCAAACGTTTGCTGCCAGCAAGTTCTTTTTATAGAGCCATTGTCGGAACCTATACAGAAAATGCCTATTTTGTGAAGTGAGCATTTTTCTGGGATATCCAAACGCAGTGTTAAATCAAAACACACTTTCTAATTGCTCGCAGTTGTCAGCGCAACTGCGTGCGTCGCAACTACCAAGATACAAAATAGAAACAGGATGGGCCGAATTCACAACAGGCCTCGCTTGGATGAGTGAGCACAAGCATAACGCTTGTCTAAAACGTGCTTAGAGAAATGATTTGTGAATGGGTCACTCGTCCGTTGATTCAATCACTATCAGAACCGTTTCCCAAGTGCCCAGTTTAGGTTTCCATGTCACGAGTCCAAATGGACTTGTTAGTGCGCGCTCAAAGAAATATTTTGAATGATACCGTTTAATCCCGGTCAATTTACTCTAAACAGATAAAAATTACGAAGTTTAATTGAAGAGGTTTCCTCCCAAGGACAGCTCAAAGTGGATGAGAGAATCATTAGGTTTTTTTTGGATTAACACGTTTGTTTGAATTGAAGCCACATCAAAGTGTGATTTGGTTTTTGGAGATTCCATAAAACTAATTCAAGTCTTGACTGCGCTAGCGCACACTGCGCCTTGAAGAGCATTCACCATTGTTTGTCCTTTCTTTGGTTGTTGGTCCTTAGACGCGTGTTCCCATTCCAAAATCTTTACATACTTTGGGATTCACCTCATCAGACTGGCACTGTCCTTGGCATGATTTCGAATGAGACGTTCCTCTCTTTTCTCCCATATTCTCCTGTTACTCTTTCGCATTCACCGCTTGCACTCACTTTTTATGTTTGTGACCATGCTCTTCAAAAATAAATGATAATATGAGGTCGATTGATCAAAGAGCTTGATGCAGTTCCGCTGTTAACCATATTGCTCGTAAAACTGCTTGTTGAGCACACTAATATTTAGTTATGTTTTGATTTTTCTAGAAGTGTTTGACGTAACACGTTCGGGTTCAATGGTTAGTCCGGGGGTCGATTTCGTCTACGTACGGCTGTTGTTTCCGTATGGAAACGAAACTTGTCTAGACCCTATCAAACCTTATTTATGGAGGTTTTTTCTCAATATCAGATGCCTCATACTAGCTTGTCAATGCCACGCAAATGACTATCGACCATCTTTATGTTGAGCGGGCTGTCTCATGTAAGCAGTCTGGTCGACTTATTGGACTACCCCGTCTGACTAGGATGTCAGAATAGACCAGACTGTAGTGGAAAACAGGAAGCGAAGCTTAGATATAGTTGACGTTAAGAAGTCGACGCGTTACAGCAATCGATAAACCGCTAGGTGTGAATCGATGAAAGAGAAATCAACGTGAAACGAACAGCTGTTAAAGCCGGAAGACGGCTGCATGTTAAATTTGATTGATTGTGCCGTTCCAGTCGGGTACATGTTTGGGAGTCCCCACGCAATATTTTCTATTGTTTTTCCATTAATACGCCGTTTCAGCTCAGTCTGGTGCGGAAGAGGAATTTTTTATCGCCTCAATAGTGTAGGTACTTTACTGGTATTCTTTTCAGCGGCCAAAGTAAAGTAACTATTGTGACTCAGTTTGAGGGCACTCACTTCACCACTTGCGTTTTCCAATCCCGGACGTCGTTATTATGCTCGTTGGTGTTGACCAAATTGCTGGTTCTGAAGTCGACCCCATTCAAAAGCAGCTAGACCCAGTGTGTACCTATGGCACACGGTTCGACAAGCTAAACTAAACTAAACTGGAGTTTTCTTATTGTGAGTCTTATTCTACACTCCTCATTACTGGACCCGTTTTAGGACCCTTTTGTAGTTAGTTTCACTGCTGCTGTCGACGTCGCCAACCCATTCATCGACCTTTTCCTCTCCCCATTTCGGAATTTACTCAGTCCTGTATATTCTGTGAACGGAATCAGAGAAGTTCGCAAGCCAACCACGGCGTGTGTATCCAGTGCGCTTGGAAAACCTGCCGAACCTACTTCCACGTTACCTGGTACGCGTTGTATCTTTCTCGTGATGTTTTCTTTTCCGAAAACTTATAAACAACTTGCTGCGAGGATTTGTGTTGCGTCCATCTTCAACCGGCGTAGTCATTTCGGTTAATTGTCTGCTGGTTCGTTGATTAATTGATTCCTTCTCTATTTAGGTCATCGCGCACTGGCTAAGGACCAGTAAATGCGGTGTTTGACCCAACCAACCTTGGGACACCATTCGGGTCAGCATCACGCATGCGATACTTTTTAAGGTAATAGGACACACTTGGTCATACTATCCCCGGAAGCGGATGTTGACGACGGTAAGCTAGTCCGTCTGGTTCCGGAGAACGTGAGTTTTGGCTAATGGACGGGTTTCATTGTATTTTGAAGCATCCTATCATCAACTTCAAAGTGCGGCTATGGAGCGAGCTGTGTGCAAATCATGGAGTGGAAATCAATGAGCTGTCTATCGTAGGGACCACAAAGGCAAAGTACAGTATGAAGATGTTCTGGATTTTCACTTCTGTTTCTTGAACTCGCTGCCTTGTTTGACAAGCTTCCTCTTGAAGCAAAATGTTGGTGAACTGCAAGCTATTTTCCTAACGAGGACGTTTCTTTGTAGGAGAGTGACCAATAAGAACTGTGTCGCACGCTCGCTACCATTGGTTAACCATATTTTATGGCTATTAGATGTTTTTCCGTAGTTTCCGTCAATATGGTACCAACTTTCTCATTTCCTCTGAATTGAGCATGTCCTCAGTAGACATGCCTTGGTACAAAACTGTACAGTGGTCGACATTGTATGCCATCGATGTCTTCTAGCTAAACTGTGGCGATAACCACAGCTAGTTACCACGAATATGTTTCCCTATATAAGTGCCAAAACAGCAGTTCTTATTGGGATTTCGATATTGTCAAGGGTTATTCGTCACAGCCTTCAGTTCTAGTATCTCAAAGTGATATTGCAGCCGTCGGGTGTACCAACGAATGATACTGTGTCTACGGCTAAGTCATCGGGTAAACCTTGTTCGGTCAAGAAGATTTTATGAATATGATAGGTTAGCTTATCAACTGTGCCTGCGACGCGAATTGTTTACTTGAAGTTAAACATGAGTCACTGGACCGAGACCGTTCCATTGTTTTGTCTGTGCATGGGTGGTAAACCAGCCGTTTCAGAAAGCACGGATCCTAGTGTTGTGAGGGGTGTGGGGGGGGGGGGGGGGGGAATCGAAAGGTCCTGTTCCGTCAAATTCTTCTTGGTGGGACGTTCCTTTTCGATGGATTTCCCTGAGGGAAGGAGTGCTGTGCAGTCAATTGCAATTGCCAAGTCAGTGGATATCCTACGCTCCAGACATCTTTCGTTACTCCCCCTCCACGATAACAACGTTCCGGCAGATGAGAAATTCCTGACTATTCCCTTTTGCTATTAGATGTCTATTTAGCTTGTACGGGAAAATGCTATTTTGGCCACCCTCGAAGGTGCACGTCTTTCATGGAAGTGAGGAATTTTCTTAATTCTCTCATCGGTGTTAGAAATCATTGGACTATATTGCCTTTGAAGTACTTGTCTGCCCATTGACTTTAAGATGCAGTCAAAGGCACTCCATAAAGGTCTCAAACCTAGTGTCAAAATAAACTGCACAGCTGTGGTTCCATTTCGATGTGATCTGAGGGACGCATGAGAACTGAGGCGGTTTTTGCTCTCAACGCTCCCACAGTACTTGTCTAGTCTCAATCAGTCAGATAGCGTTTTTCCTGGTCATATGCCCCAAAAGGAAGTTCCATCCGAACCATCTTGGTATGTTGTTTTGATAGGATTGCTGGAAAACTCGCGCTCCGTTGGTTGATCAGATGGTAGTTGATCTGTTCGCTGAGTTTGGCAATTGGTTCGCAAACGCTTCGTTCCCAGTCGTAAGTGCGCACTGACTCGACTGGAGACGAAACGTTGACAAACCAATTGCCAAGCTCGGCGAACAGTTCAACTACCATCTGATCAACCAACGGTAAACACACTCGAGCTACATATATTTCGACAAATCGACAAACTCGCGCTCGTTTTTTGGTCCAGAATACCCTTTTTGATTCAGCCGTCTTAGGGTTACACAGAGACGATCGTTGATAGTTATTAGAAAACCGTTTCTGACGAGACCTTCGCGAGTGCATAGTTCCGTGTGGGACCTTGCCCTCATGCCAGCTAAATCAATTGCACCCGATAGGAGACTATGTGCAACCACTCGCTTGGATGAATCATTTTGCATTTTGTCAGCTTCTCCGTCTGCACGAGTCAGGATGATTGTTGGCTTTTTCGTCCTCGAATACGAAGTCCGTCGGTCTATTCCCGAGCTAACCTAATTTAGACGGAAATAACGTGGCAGCATCACGAATGTCATGTGCGTAGGTTATTGGCTCGTGAATTGTTTGCGATGGAGCGTTTAAATCACGGTTGTCCACAGACTGCTGCACATAAATTTGCAGTGACGTAACGAGGAAGAGTAGGTAATGTACGGGGCAAAATAACTGTGCTTCAGTCATAGGGACGTCACATCGTTGATTCCGAACGGTGTTTGGCGTTGAACTCTACCCGAGTGAAATGTGAGATGCAATGGTGTTAATTACGATAGAAGCACTAGGCTTATTTGGGATAAAACACAGCGACCATAATGCGAAAACGATGCAAAGACTACACCGTATCTACCGGAAATCCGGTTGTAGTTAGCTGAATAAAATCGTATTTCTTGCCAATGTGTTTATTCCCATTTTTGTCTGCTGTATCACGTTACTTCCCCCTCCCTGATCATAGCGCCCACGCAGCAGGTCTCCTGTCTGATCTGCCTTCGGCTGATGCAAATGCCAACCGTTCGTTGGCTAACGTACTCATCAGTCAGCCCCAGGGTCTCTCCGCAGACGGCACACATAATCAGAACACCCCTTCTTCACGGAATAATTTCGGAAGTGTAGTCACATACGATGCACTTTTTCTTCTACATGGATTCTGTTCTACTCGGCATAAAGAGGTGAGTATGCGACAAGTGAGTTAATCGTTGTTCTACAAATGAAGTCCTACTGAATAAAGTGGACGTCCCATTTGTTCAGGTTGGCATTCATCAATCTTAAAGATAGTGAAGTTGGAACCCTGTAACAACGTCTCAGCCTGCCTTCCACCCAAACTGAGATTGCCAGCCACAGAATGCTCTTCACTCTTGTCGTGCGGTTGCACATGGGATTAGCGGTTCGAAGGCTGTTGGTTCTGGGAACTTGTGCCCACCAACCGCATACATGCAGTTGGGGGCGAGATAGCTCAGTGGTTAGAGTGCAAGTTTACTGACCGGAAGATCCGTGGTTCGAACCCGGCCTCTGCATCTCGACTTCCCCTGTCTAGGCTTGGGCAACCTGGCAGTATCCCACCCCTCGTGCTTCCTACAGGTGGTTTGGCAGTTGGGCATCGAAAGGGTATTACAGCCGAACGACGATTTACACACAGTTGGTTAGTTCCGTTTGGAACGCAATGTGCCTTACTAAGAGCGGAGGGGCTCTTGTGACCGAACCTTTCCGGACTCATCCTATCTAGGCTTGGGCAACTTGGCTGTACCTCAGCCCTCATACTTCCTTCGGGTGGTGTGGCAGTTAGGTACCGAGAGAGTGTTACAGCTTATCGGTTACTCTGGACGAAATAATGGGAACAACTTTATTGTGGGACGATCTTATTTCGTGTATAGTCACAATGTGATCCAAAGTAGCCACAAAACATTGTAAAATCACAGGAGTGAAGTCAGGTCCTATATTAGCCTATGCTGATCAATTAAACCGTGCAGTATCGGAGTTAAACTCGAGCCTTTCTGCGCTTATGAACCTCACTTGTGACGAGTAACGACTAGGGCTCGGGAAAAGTGAGTCTGCGTGGCCCGTAATATCTCTTGGCCACACTCAAATATGAAGTGATTTCAGCTGGGTGTTTTCCTGACAAAGGACAACCTTATGACTCTTCTTATGATCGTCTAAAATTCTGAATTGATGTCACTAATCGCTCCTTTTTACAACGCAATTCTCCGGTCCGTGTGGGTGATGTGTTCATCGCAACTGCTGGCGAACACAGCACCTCTTGTATTAGGCTGATTCTGGTCATTTTTTTCTGTTGGCAGTGGTGTTGCTATGATTCTCAGTTATATAGCTATATAAATCCATCTTAGTTCATTTTTTGCGCCATTTTTAACGAGCCCATGTTTTATTCTATGGAAGGTCAAGGAAGACCAGCTTTTAGGGGCGGATATATGTGGCTTCTCCATCCTGCCGCTAATATAAGAGTTCCCAACCGGGCACTGAATAGTTGTTGGAACGTGGAACACCTTCGCGTGATTGTCTCTGGGCCTAGATTTGCCCTGTCCTGTGGTGTAGGGTGCAAACAAGAGTTTGTCTTCACTGCACTGGACGAAAGCCTTTAAAGCTATGACATGGTCCAAGCAAAGTCTATCTTGACTGAAACTTGTAGTCACCGGATTCGGTTGCGAGCTTCATACTCACAAGTAAAATGCTCAAAATTGTAAGTTTTCTGTCTGCGATTGCTCTCTTGTAAACATCACAGTATTATCTCCTGTTAAGTGGGACCTGATGAATTCCGGTACAGGGGGCCATTCAAGTCCAGCTATTTATGAGTTTTCATATTTTAACCTTGGCCTTTATTCTTCCAGTTTAATCAACTTGTGATAAAAACAGCCGAAAAACTGCGCATTTGTTTCATCCATACTGAGTAGTGACCAACTTCCAGGTAGATTCGAACATACGAGCATGCGGTGAGTGTTTGGACACCATCTTTTATGTAAGGGTGGTTGATGGACACAGTGATCGATTTATGCTAACACTGTTCATCGTTCAGGCACATTCGGGCCATGAAACCCGCTACTGAGTCTCCACAGTTGAGACGACTTATCTACAACGACATTACTGTGAGTAGAATGTAGTCCTGAAAACGACTGGTAACATCTTGCTTTTGTCAAAAAAAACATTCAAAACTTGGTACTTTTTGAAGTTTATAAACAAACCAGAGGCATCCATCTACAAACCACTAACCTGGGTCAGGAATAAATCGATCGATGAAATCCCTATTATGGCTGGGTTTTTATGCTTTCGTGCTTTTTGAATCGCAACACGACATGCACACTTTCCCTGTATTTCCTCTTTTCAAGAAGTTCTCTTCGGTCGCGCCTATTCCTGAATCATCCGCATCCCAAGCAGACAAAGCAGCCCAAAGGTTAGTTTGTATTCCCCAGTTCGACTTTTGTGCGGTTCGGGTTTCTTCGGTCTAGTTGCTCCACAGTAAATTCCACATTTTTGTACCATCAAACGTATGTTTGGATAAGGTCAGGTGGATGACGGATCGTGGATATACTCTTAGAGGCATTAGGTCTGAGTAGTGTTCTCTACTGTGACGACTAACTGTACTCATGTTCCCTTTTCCTTTGTGAAGACAATCTAAAAGGATTTGCCACAGATAAACTCTCATGCAGTGAAACTAACCGGCGAATTAGTGTTTACATTTTCTTCGAGTTGGTACCTTCAGTTTGAAGTCGTTATACTTTTCACATAAACATGGAACTAATGGAACATTTAAGGATATATCAAAGGGTTTTCCGACGAAACGCGATGACTCATAGACATTTCCGACTTGCCTGTTTTGTTGAACATCGTCATCCATGTCTTAAGGATGCGGAGGCACGGCTGTCTACCACTGTGCGCTTTCTGGATTATGTTCTTTCTGTGTTTAGTATGTCCTTTTTAAAAACCGCTTTTCCCTGATATGGATATGAATTATGTTTGTATCCCTTTTGGTCTCTTTTCAGCACGGAACCAACACGAAATCCAGCATTCACTCCTTCATCTACTCCTCAGGATTCAAAACGTACTAGTTCGTTTTCCAAACATTCTGTTAGACATTCCACCCCTACGGCTGTGAGTAGTCCTGAGAGTAGTTCGGAAACAAGCAACACGGCTTTTTGTACACTCTCCGCAAACGCGACCTCTGTGGAGGCAGAAGTTCAGGGTGGTTCGTCGATCCCCACAAAGAATGGGACGAATTCATCAGAGCCTCCGTTGACTGGAGCGATTCTCCCGGAACAAGACAGCGATGAGACCTCTGCCCCTAAGAGATTGTGCTTACGGAGGCATAAGCCAGCTTTGTCTCACCCAACGAGCGATTCAACTGATCAGTCCAGTACGGTACTAGGCTCATCCGTATTGGACTTACTTGAAACCGGTCCACAAGACAACGTAATAAGTGAAACCCAAGATGCGGGAAAGCAGACAGGTCAGTCCTACATCATTTTTTTATTCCATTTCGCATATTAATTCTTGTCCCTAGTTTTATGCTCATGGGTTTGGACCTGAAGCACACAATCGAGTCATGCTGAAAAGTTGGAAAACGCTTTATTTCTTACCGGAAGGTGTGTATATTTTACTTATCTCGTTGGAGATTCGATCTGGTTGCGGTATAACGCCATAATTCAGCTAAAAATGGTTGATCAGCGATGTGCGTAACTTGTACCTCGACAGGATTAAGCGCCACCCCCCCTGTACAAATTCTGTACAAATTCGGTTCACACAACGTAGTGATGACTTCTTCTAGGAAAGCGGGTGCAACTTAGCGGTACGTTTTGCATTCTGCTCATACCCAAATTTTGTAACTTTTCTTCTAGGAAAGCGGGTGCAACTTAGCGGTACGTTTTGCATTCTGCTCATACCCAAATTTTGTAACTTGTGGAGGGATGTACTTCGAATGGAAAACACCCTCACCATGTTACACAAATGTTTCTCTGGGGAACCGTCCCTGTAGGAGCCAGACTCCTAGATGGTTGTAAGAGGAATTGTAACCTGGCCTGGTGGATTGTTCAGCATGTCAATGAAAGTGTTACGAGTTAGAATTATCCCTCCCTCCCCAACTTACCCGAGATTTCTGAATTTCACGCTACCAATGACCCGCAATTAAAGTGAAATGGACGTACGATTATTCTCGGCTTTGCAGCCTAGGTTAAGCTTGCTTGAAATAAGGAAATCCTCAATTGAAACTCCGCAGCATCAACCACAAAAAATAGAAGTTTAGATAGCTTTCTAAATTTGCGCTTTGGCAAACCATACGCTCTCTGCGAGCTTTCAGTCCGCAGCTTCTTTATCATTGTCATCGCTGTTACTTTACAACTAAAATAACGCCTTTGCAGGTAGTCATCCCGTAGAGGCTAACATTCTGATGTACCTTCGAACATGAAGCCCCGGGACGTTCATACTTTTCTAACAACAACCTACTGGTCCTTAATATTGTGTCTAATTGTAAAGAAGGGAAGCCCCGATAAATAATAAAAGGAAAAAGGATTTAATACTCAAGCGTTTTTAACACATGTCAAGCGATCAAGAGTAATATGCCCACACCCTCAAACAGTAAATCTAAGCGTGCTGTCAGAGTATGGCGCCAATATTAACGCAACCTTCTCAACAAAAGGTGAGCGTACAAAGACGCTAAATCGTCTGTCTACAACATGCCCTCCTTCGAGTTCGATCACGTGCCATGTATGTTCATCCTGAGGGTCATGTGAATCCCAGTCAGGAAAACAAAAAGATCTCCTAGCGATTTGCTCAATACGAACTGATCTTACTTCGCGTCACTATTTTATGGTCCATCCCTCATGCATCTTTCAGCAACAAGGATCTTGACTGGAAACATGGGTTTCTTTGGAAGACAGCTGTTAGCCACGTCTCAATACCCTAATCTGAAATGCCTCATTTCCCGTTCTACGGATTCCAATCAGTTACTGTTGTAACTTGGTGGACGGTAGTGCAACTCTGTGTCGGTCCCAGTACTCGCTAATACAGTGCTTCGTTGTGGATATGCTGTAGCTGGAAATCGCCTACGAAGGATCGGTAGTCTGCTTTTGAAGCCTCCGAATCGGTCAAGTTTTCACCATAAAATTGTACCATTCTGATGGACATTTTATATGGACAGTCAGTATATATCCATTGAAACTCATTCATAAACCGGGTAATAACGATCTATTGTCAGCTTAGTCTTCGGTGTGAACCTTCCAAGCTAGTGTTGATGTAATGTGCGCAATGTTTAGTAAAGCCCAAAACCAGGTCAAGAACACATATACGGCGCGTTGCATATAAAATGTGTGCCGTGACAATATTGTGAAAATTCCGAAGCCTCCTAGACGCACCATTGGCAGCGGGCATTCGGCGGATACTGGGTCATGATTGGCTGTTCGGTCCAGACGTTCGGCCAATCAAAGCTCGCCTTGATGCTGCACCGGAAGCAGCCCGATCTTTTGGCCAACTTTGTGCGGGGCAGACTCCTTAGTCGTCGCATCGGCTAACAGCAGGCGGTAAAACCATGCTTTAAATTCTCATCCTGGTGCTTATAAACACACCAGGTATCCGATGTACATCACAAAAGACCGATTCTGGTTTTACACACTGAGTTGAGACAATCGTATTTGAACATTTTGAACGTTTTCAATTTCCCACTGCCGTCGATCTTGTTGTCTGACCGATTTATCCAGCCGAACTGGAACACACTTATCTGTTATCATGAGAAGCAGAATCCTTTTGTGGCATCTCAGGTCGGTGGTTGGTGGTTGGACGTGATTTTTAATTTAGCCGCATCTGCTGTAGTTTGGATAACAGTAGCTGATTTCATACAAGTAGGAACGTCCCAGACTGAATTATTTGTTTCTGCCGAAATCCCGATTGGCTTGAATGCGGTAATTGGTCTGCTTCTGGCCACGACTAATACTGCTGACTGAGTAGTACGACGGATTGTTCAGGCACTCAGTTGATCTGCAGGATTTTTCACCATTATTGTATTCACTCAATGTCCATTCCACGCTTAGCAGTTAGTGAACATGTCATTGATGTTATTCGAATGTTGAAAAGAGCACATTTATGCGAATGGAACAGTTTGTTGGTGTTCTTATGGCTCGATCGTTTTTTCGACCAATTTGATTAAAAATTACATGTCGGCTAATATATTCACTCATTAAGACCACTGTTGTATTCATTACACAGGCTTTTTCTTCACTCTCACCCAGACACTTAGATGTGCGCATGCATGTTGATCAGTCTAGCGTTTTCGTGGCAATGGCAATCTACACGTTGCATCAACTATTTCACTCTTAGTTGAGTGGTCTCCACTCACTAAGCAGGTTTACGTCTATTCGTGTAATCCGTTTCAAATCTCATGCAGTTAATAATGCCTTCAGGACATTCTCCTGTCACCGTGCCGGTCATATTACAGTAGCTGTACTATTGGATATCAGCCCAAACGATAAATGATTTATTGCAGTTCATTTGCTCATTCCAAATCCCGTGGTATCACGATATAGACCAGTTTTTTACTTACGTTACCTCTAAAGCTATCTGTTTGCGGCAAAATCAATATACCTCACATTGATTCCAAATAAAAAGTGTTTTTATGGTTGTTCCTGCCAGTGGTTACATCCACGCGTGATTCCAAAATCGGTCTGAAGTATAGAAAAATCGTTCATCTGTAACACTCGATGCCACTTGCCATGCCATCGGAATGAAGCACGGGGGCTGGGATACTGCCAGTTACCCAAGCCTATCCAGGGGAAGTTGAAATACAGAGGTCGGGTTCGAACCGCGGACCTTCCAGTCAGTAAATTCTTTCTCTAATGACTGAGCCATCTCACCCACAGATGTATTTAGAGCACTTATTTGGGCCTTCGATAGCCCAGCTCTTAAGGCGCGAGACCAAGAGCCGGAAGGTCTGTAGTTCGAACCCGACCCTGCTAGTTCGATTTATTCTCTCCAGACGTTACTATTATTGTTGATATTATTATTACTGATATTATCTCAGTCCTTGTGTTTCCCTCGAGTTGCATGGAAGGTGTGAACCGAATGGGTACCACCGCTAGGTGTTTGTTTTGTTTACTTGAGCAAAAAAACTTTTCCGTGCCTCTCTTCAACCCTTACATACACATACATAAACCGAAGCCAATCAGCGTCTAAATGTTTGCATGGCCAAGAAGTTTTAACCAGGGGTAACGAGAATCAGAAACGTATGGTCACAATTGGAATAGAGAATTGGACTGCCTGACTTCAGGTTGTGAATCAGGGTTACGAAGATTGATCGATTGGCCCCGTGATATCCTCTGTATGAGATTCCGGCAGCTAAGGATTTTACAGGATGTTTGAAGCTATCAGACTACACGCAATTTGTATCCCGTAGGCAGTAGGGGCAGAAGCATGAAGGCAGTAGATGCTGCATTGAGAACTGGTTCTTGGAACAAATGAATTAAGCAGGACGTACAATCAACGATAGCCCAACCAGTAGGGGCAGCAAAAGTGGTAGTGAGGCAGAAAGTCCTTGGTTACGGACAGTCATACAGTGTACATAGACCATGTACGGAGAAAACGGCACGGTAGGCAGTCAGTACGCTCGGAAGGTAACGCTGCTGTCTTTGACTGACAGCATGACACAGCAGCGCTTGCCACTTGTCATCTCGGAATGCGCGCTTGGGCCCGTTTTGAGCAAAATATCAAAAGCTATCGGGTAATATGGAATACAAAGGTATTAGCAAAAATGGAATCGTCAGGAAGTCGATTTGGTGTGGTGGCTAGCGCGCTATTCTCTCACCCGAGGGTTTTCGGGTTCGGTCCCTGGGCGCCCCGTTTTTCCGTCGAAACATTCACTCAGCAATGGGTACAGTTGATACCCAATGGCGAGCGAAGAAGGATAAGAAAAAATCTTGACATTAGAGAGCAAGCAGACCGTAAGCGGGAGCAAAAACACGGGTAACGAGCAGTAGGGAGGCAAAACATCGATATGGTAAACAGGCGTTAACTTACGCTACTCATGAGTAGTCAGAACAAATATGACCGCCGTTGGTTCGCCAAAGGATTCAACACTAATCGATGCTAGCAGGGTCAAACTAGTTAGGCCGCAGTAAGCAAAGGACTAGGGACGTGTGGTTTTGAGCACGCAATTCTAGCATGCGGATTTCGATGGCCACGGCTTCTGCGGTGGCCAGCACCCTAATCCTGCCTCAGTGCAACATATGACCAACCTCGTAAATAACAGTAAATCATTGCAGGATTCACTTCTTGTTGTTTGTGTACAAGGTTTGCTATCACCGAACTGTTTATACATCCCACAGCTCCTCCGGAGGTCTGGGAATACATAGGTTCAGATATGTGCTTAGACAGTTTTTTCGTTGTCCGGCCGATGTAGTGAGAACCGCAGGAGCAAGAGAATTGGTGGAGTTCGGCCTGGCGAGGCAGTTAATCTTTTGATTTTTGACAGAGAATCGAACAGCTGGTGAATGTTAGATGGAAACGACCAGCGCTAAATATTCGTCTAAACATCTCAGCGAATTTCTGTATGCGTATCTGGCTGACTAAGTCACCCTTGCACGGCAGTCGTGCTTATATCTTAGTTGGGCACCTTGCGTGCGGCTGGCTTTGAGTTGACGTCAAATAAGCTGTTAGCGTAGCCACTGTTACGAAGTGCATTAGGCAGGACGTCAGTTTCTTCGCACCACGTGGTTTTCCGTGCACACTTTCGTTGCTCTTTGGAAGAGTCAGCGCATGAATCTGTATTTGATTCCTAAACGTACTATCCGATCCATGTAAATGGTTCCTGTGTTCCCACCTGCCACCTTTGCGGCAACACGTGTAAGAACTGGAGGAAGTATACGCAGGAAACCTATTCCAGTGGCTAGTTGCTCTGTTGGAATAACAGTTTTACTGTAATAGCATATGGGCTCTTGTCTCTTTCATTTCCGGTAGAGATTTTCTTAGTCCTTTATTTAGATCGTTTTCTAGTGGGACTCTGCCTTCTACATAAGAAAACCTCTCACTATTCTCAAATCTACAGGTCCGTTCAAGAGACTTTACCCTCTGGAGAAATCATGGAAAGCACACCTAACATGAGTTCGCAGCTTCCAACTCTCAGACATGAGAAAACTTATCAATTCTGTGGAAAGGTCTGACGCCTAAGGTTTCAAGCTCATGCCTGTACTGTATGCTCCACATTTGGTATGATGGAAGCCTTGTAAGAAGGTAGAATCACCGTGCATTTGAGTTTCGCCAAAGTCTATGGCTTCCTGAATGCACCACCAGTTTGGCCTGGAGTAGGCTGTGCCAAGGCCTCGCACACGCTTGACTTTGCACAGCAATGACGTACTCGCATCCGCGTGTTGTAAGTTGTCCAGGGTTTTCACTCCCTTCACTGAGCATCTGCCGAATCGTTTTCACTGTGTCGTCCAGTGAATGGGGTAACGATGTCCTTCCGGCTCGCAAGAGTTGTCAAAGTGTTCGCGTAATTTTGTCATGGGTTATGTGTAACTCGATGTCGACTGATCAAATTAGAGCAGATGCTAAAGCTGTCTTATTCCTTAAGTGCACAACTGCAACGTGATCCGAAGTGGGCTGAGATATCAATTTGTCAGTTGAACGACTCTATCTGAATTCATACCACGTACCTTTCGGTCCGAAGATAGCGCATTTTCTTTGGAGCTGCTTCTCGAACTCTACCAGGTTAAATGGCTGAAGACAAGGCCAAGGTCATTTATTCCGACATCGCTCTTCTTTAAACTCCCCTTCATATGCTCGTCTCGTCTTATGAATATCTGTTTAGCTCTTTCATGAACGAAGGATACAAATTTGGTTAACTCAGGCCAGTTTTTTCTCATTTTTTTGCACGGTTGCTTCAAACAAATAGTCTTTCTTTTATTTCTCTACCGTTAGTTGGTTCACCCGGATCGCTTCCCAAACCGGACTACGAGTCTGTCAGTTCTCCGGTCATTTCTTGCGCTTCTGTTGTCAGTTCTTCCGTGTCCGGCTGCCTTCGCACCAAAATCCGGTGTACCTCGACTCCAACCTCAATGAAAGGTGATACTCCATACTCGCCCATTTCAACTCAAGACGAAGGTATCCCACCTAGCACTACAGCGTTGGAAGTAGTCGACACTCCAAACGCAGCGAACAATGTGATAGCCACAGAACCAGAAACGTGCGTGAAATGTGACGGATTTTCATCAGATACTTCTGCCCAACCACCCTCTAAAGAAGTCATCAAAACTCCGCAAGAACCGTGAGTTTCTAGCATGGTAGGGTAGTTTCATCTATTCAGAGAATCTTTTCCCAACTTGCTCGATCTTTCCGATAACAATTAAAACATGAGGTGGTTTTTTCACTGCGCATTCAGTTGAAAACTATATGGGGTTTACTGTGGTATTTCCCACTAAACACGAACCGATGCCACCTCTGCGAGAGACAAAAGTTCGCCCTCCTTAACCTCCGCTTTTTGACAGGATCGTTGCATTTGGATCGCTAATTGAGGTTCTTGTCATGTTTAAAACTGCAGCTGTCTCGTTTGCCCGTGGTCATTCAAAATGCTAATACGGAGTTCTTAGTTGCTCACACACTGAAAACGTCGACCGTACGCTTCAATTTATTTATTGGCCTGTACGTTTGTAGTATTAGTGCACTGTCCTCCGTTGACCAAGACTTTCTTGAATTCACGAACGAAAACAAACTATGAAACTCCGGTTTTATTTTTGTATCGTTCAGCTTGTGAGTTGTTCACTTCGGCATTCTACTCAGCGTCTAATAAAAAATAGTGCGAAACCGATGTGCTAACAAGGAGTTTTCAGCAACCTTGTGAGTAGTGTGCCATGTCGGAAAAATATCTTTAGTTATCATCCTTACTTTTTCCGCTTCATTTTAGAAAGAAACCATGCGATGGGGCTCAAAAACGAAGACATAGTGGTACGAGCAAAGGTGGGTTAATCATGTGTGGTCGATCTGTTCTAGATTTCTGCGTTTTTGTACACGTCGCTGCTTTGTCTTTATTCTTCACCAGGACATATTGGGTCCTCCAGGTGAGCTTTTCTGGTATCACGTTATACCAGGTCTACCAACGATCAGTCACATTAATTTTTCATGTGCATTCCGGTGATCTTGGCCATAGTGTGAGTTTGTGTGACACTTGAACCACGCCTATCGTCATTCTCTTGTTCCGAATGCCCAGTTTGCTGCAGTGTTGACTTTGCCACCCACTTCTGTAACACCACCTTTTGCCATAGAATAGTATACAAAAATTGGACTGAAGTCTATTTATAAGATCACTTACTTGAGGCACCCCACCTTGAGCCTTTGACTCAAAAGTCTGACCCACAAGGCAGTGGGAGGATGTTGAGTTTTTTTCGGGGATCCTGCCCCCAGCATCAGTCTGGACCGCGAGATAGTGGTTGTTAGTGTCTTCTTGGGGGACTCTTCCCGGATCCAATGACTCAATGGTCTGACCAACTTAGCTGTATGAGGCCGGCCTGGCCCGAGGGCGCAGAGAGTAGGGCACTACTGTCGCACTCCTGATGTGGCTGTGCACAGAAATTGCCTTTTGAGCAGCACTGGACTCTGGCTCTTAGAGTATTTCGACCGTATTGAATTATGCGCCGGTGGTCAGGGTCAACCGTTAGACGATCGGAGTGTGCGGCTTTTAGGGCTGACATTTTCTAACTTATCCTTTCTCGGGAAAGGCAGCATCGCTTATTAATAGTTTAAAACGGTCGGTTCTCACTTATTTGTTTTGAGACGACTGGATAGAAATGTACCGGAGCCATTGGTGGAACTACTGAACAACTGCAAAACTGGGCTCGCAGAAACCCGTTGAGCTTGTAATGTCGCAATGTATTGCAATGAGACGATAGGTGAGGTCATTTAAGTCAGATGCTCCGATTTCATCCCTCAAAAAGCCTCTCCTTCCTAGGAAATTCAGGGATTGTAAAGACAGGTAGTGGTTTTATCACATGGGTTAAGCTGAGAACTTACTTTATTTTCTTTTAACCATGCTCGCAAGTGTGCTAAGCTGTCACTTGAAGCTGCGGTAAACCGATCTGTTCTGTCATATCCACCCAGTGAATCGTGATCTGGAAACTTTATTTTCTTTTAACCATGCTCGCAAGCGTGCTAAGCTGTCACCTGAAGCTGCGGTAAACCGATCTGTTCTGCCATATCCACCCAGTGAATCGTGGTCTGGAAAAAGTCTGGTTGGTTGGTCTCATAACTAATATGTTCAAATTCAAGTCTAATGGGCGTGTTACATACGATCCATGTGGATCCTAAGTAGTCTGAATTAGCACCTGACTGTTCTCAAATGCCCATATTTCTTGACAAATTTCTTAACATGAGCTAAGCCGAGAATCACCTCTATCTTATTTTAGAGGGAAGCATCTTCGCTCATGCAAAATAGAGAATGGTGTCTATAAAGAAACTTGTGGCTTCATTTCTGGAGAGGGTTTTGGTGACTGTATGCCCTGGTTTATATAAGCGTCCCTATGATCAATCAACAAGATATTCAATCTCCAGTCCTTACTTACCGTCGTTTGCTAACTATTTCGTTCGCTTCTTATTGTGCTTATTTCCTTGTCTTCTGTCGATGTCATTTTCCGTAGCAAACAGAAAACCGAATACAGCGCCCTCTGCAAGTTCTCATACAACTCCACCTCCATGCTCTGGAGTTGAACAGCTCAACCAGCTACCATTTATCTGGCCACAAAGGCCGCTACCATTGCGTGGAATCCGTTTGCCCTACAACGACTCGCATCCTTCCGATCATCCCTCCGGTGAGCAGGCGTCGGATGCGGTAAAGTCTTTCACTCAATCACCCCTCACAACAATGCAGGATCTACTCGAGTGGCAATGGGATCAGGCTGGGGCGTTGCTCATGCAACAGGCTTCTGGGACTGACGGTAAGCATTTATATAGTCTAACATAGTCAGAATTCCTGGAGGAACTTGATATCAGGACACGAAAAAGGGACTGATACAATGGACGACGTTGATCTCGACCCGTAGTGAATGTTCCAACCAAAGCAACATCTTTATACTGAAGGGATGCACAAAATTCTCAGCCAATTAGTCCAAACTAATCTGATTATCATCTTGCCCATTGAATTTTTGGTTTTCCACTGCATTTCCCTATAGTTTACGGAGTTTCAGTGCTCCATTTGGGAGCTAATTCGTAAAACTAATTCGCAAAATTTCTAGAGCGGCGGGGTTCGACCTCTCCAGACCCATGAAACCCTGTGGAATTCTGGTGCAAGTGCCTCCTTCAAACTCTTGTGCAGTGGCTACTCCTCGGGGGTGGCCTCTTTCAGAAGAGTTTCATTTAGTTGGCGACTTGATTGATGTCTCTCTGCGGTTCTGTCACGCCGGACAACTCACACACGCATTAGTGATATGATCAAGCTTAGATGTGCTTGAACTCATAATTTAAAAGTACATGTTGTCTGGTACTATATCGTCGTATAGTGCCTTCAGCGAAATAACGAAACGGAGCAAACTACAAGGTGCATCTCCGAATCCCCGGAGGAACGTGCGACCCGCTTTTTCGATCATACCAATTGTTGAGTGGCCCAGGTATGTTTTCTGGTCGTAACCGAGAGATGACAGACGTGGCTCTAGAGAAATCGGATGCATGGTATGTGACACTATCCACCGATATTCACCTCGTTCCAAGGATCACTTCTCCAATTTCAAAAATTCCATCCGTTGAAATTCACGGGAATCGGAGGCCAGAAGTGATGAACAAAAAAATCAGCTGCAACACCTTCCGGTGCCCAGCTGCTATGTTACCCGAAGGAAGCATGAGGGCTGGGATTCTGCCAGGTTGCCCAAGCCTAGACAGGGGAAGTCGAGAGGCAGAGGTCGGGTTCGAGCCGCGGACCTTCCGGTCAGTAAATTCGCGCTCTAACCACTTGTCTAGTCATTGTCCACCGAGGTTCGTCATGACCTCTTCCCCATCGGAAAACAGAGCACGCTCTGATATAACATTGTCCTTCCAGCTCTCACGGCAGCCATATTTCTGTACACAGATTGAGGCCTCACCTCACTTCTTTTACCAGCAGCTTGGTAAGACGATTGCACATCTCTACAAGTACAGTGATAGATGTTGAGGCTCGACTGATACAAACGAATCTTTCCGCGACCTGAATTGCTTTCCAATTTGTTTTTTACGTGAGTACCACTGGGAAAAGTAGTACGTCAGAGGTACTGTTTGGCACAGCACCCCGAACACAAGGACTTCTCTGAATAGGTCATATTTTTTTGGTTGTTCGTCTGGAGAGACCTATTTAAGTGTGTAGGGATTCCGCTATATTTAACATGTAGTTGAGGAATAAGGTAGGCTGTACCATTGTTGGAGCAACTCAGATGGAATAGAGTGTGGCAATTACCCTGCAGACAGACCACACTTCGCCTCCCCTAACTATGGTTTTTATGTTGATGGTGACCGTATTTGAAACGTAGGGCTGGGAACCTGGAGATCCCGTATCACTCTGGCAAACGTTGGTAGTATAGTTGCTGCCTCCCACGCGATTCTCGGTAATAGTTAAGTGTTGAATAGATGCTACACGTATATCACATCTTAATCGTGTTCATTGAGTGTATTTTTCCCACATCTCCTCAGTTGTATCCCTCTTGGACTGTTTGCATCAACTGAAAGTGGAAAACGATTTGTTGGAAGCAAAGTTGGTACGACTACAAACGAGACAGGAGCATTTGCGCTCAGTCAACGCTCGGCTGTCAGCCTCACTGGCCACAATGGAAGCCACAATGACGACGAGTACTAGCACAGCGTCGCCAACGGGGGAAAAAGCTGCCACTTTACAACAACCGACTCGATCTCCATCCACTGCCTGCACCGGTGCGTCGGATTGCACAGTCATACCAACTTCGGTGCAATCAGGGCAACCTTTTGTCAATCCTCCCGTTGTTCCTAAGGGTATGTTTTTGCCAAGATAATCCTGACTGAAGTGTGCCACGAAAACCCCTCCCAAACAGAAAACAACTTTACGGCACTCAAGTTTTTGATCCCTAGTCACCTTACGCTCTAGGAATCCATCTAATCCATGCGGGTTTTTTTACATATGCTAGTGGAAACATGGTAATTTCTTCTGTCAACGAGTAGCGCTCGCAATTGGTTGTGATCTCAAGCAGTTGAGTTTGCTAGTGTTACCATTCTACGGTCATATGGTACCAGAAAATTCTTTTTAGCTTGTTTTAACTTGATGTGTGAACGAATTACATGATATTTGTTCCCTAAACGCGTTACGTAATCGCAGTAGGGATTAAACAACCGGAACTGGCAGATCAGATAGGATGAATTATGGGGGCTTGTGAATTACCTGGTTCACAACACTTGTTTGTAAAAAATGCTGGTAAAAGTGAGGGTGTGCGTTTGACAGAGGTTACCTTGCTCACAGAGACGTTGGATTTAAAACATTCACCCATTTCGTGATTTTATTTGTTGGGCTTGCTCTCACGTTTAGTTTTTTATATTAAGGTTTGGTCTTTTCTACTCCGCTACTTCTGAAACACCAAGTCGCTTTCTTACCTAGACAGTGGTAGGCAACCGATATGAGGGCACCCGGCTTGAGGACTCTGACCCGAGGTACCTCGCGATTTTATGCACTTCGTCACTCGGGTTCGGTAAAACAAACAATATCAGTTCCAAATGGCTCAAGTGACCGGAACTGGTGAGCATTATAAGGGTTCGTTAGTATCGTACAATAGCATATGTCTTACTTGCCTGCAGTCATGGAATTCCGAGAGTATTGATTACGGTCCTAGTAAAACGTGCCATCATCTTCGTATAATGTGGATTGCAAAACATCTATCGACAACTGGATTTTCTTCAATCGGCTTCAGAGACGATTCTCATCACCTGTTGTTCCCAAGAGGAAATACTTCACCTCCCCCGACTTCCCTTGTTTTGTCTACTGTAGACAATAGTACAAATCCTGTCAGTCCTTGGCTAGGTGACTGCGCTTCAATACACGATTTGTAGCACTTTCTTGACGTCACACTACGTATAGCGTTGATGGAAACTCCACCTTGTGAATAGTGTTTGTATCCAGAAAAGCACTTAGATACCGTGGATATTGTTGCAGTTGAGGCGGCCTTTGTGCAGCGCATTCAGCTGAAGAATTCTGGAGAGGAGAGATTCTGCTGAGTCTCCATAAATGCGCGGACAACTCCACAAAGTTGAAGTGTTTCTTTGTGTGTGGCAAGGACGGCTATGTGTTAGACGTTTTTCGTATATATCTATGTGCTACACTGATCCAAACCTAGACGCGAGACCAAAAGTTCCTCCCTGATTGGTTACTGTTAATCAATTGTTTGTAGTTTGAGCCGGTCAATGCTCTCCTTCTATAGAACTGGAACTCAGTTGCAAGACTCCCTTAACTCGTGCAGTATGCTGTTTTTTTTTCAGCCTGTCCAAAACACCCTCACATTCCCTCTAGCCAGACGTCGTTGGAATCAGCTGGGTCTGTCACATTTGTCTCACGTCCTTCCAGTTCCCAACCAACACCGCTGATAGTCACTGGACAACCACCAGTCAGACCAGCGTTTATTATCACCAATCACTCGCACAACAACGCAACTGAACAGGTGTTGTCTCCACATCCTCTCCGTCCACAAGCTGGTTTCTTTCCTGACTCACCTGTACTCATTGCCTATCCGGCCGATAAGTTGAGCCATGGAACTCCAGCTGCCCCCAACGGTCAACTTGACTATCAGTCTAAACCAATGCTTGACAAACCAATGCCTTCCTACACGTCTCAACCGCTACCACCATCCCGCATTCCTCCGGAGCATCCTTATCCGAGTCACACCAAACATGTTAAGAAATCCCATAGCTCTTCGTCTCAAAGTCGGCACCACCAGAAGGCATGTTTCCAACGTCGTTGGCCCTTGGTCCAACCTCGTTCGACAGATGCGAATTCACAGCCAGGCTTGGTCGCCCCGGTTATTTCGAATTCACTTCAAGCAAAGGTTGATCCCAACGATTTGGTTAGTCCATAAACACCCATAACTTGCTCATTAGATCGATGGTCAGCCCTATCCCTCAAACTCACGGTCGGATATTAGTTCAACATGGAACTACGCAACAGAGCTTTCATTCTTCCACATTAATCCGAGAATCATTGACCAAGGGCACTATATTGTCGTTTTTAGGTTCGGATGGCTCAGTGGTTAAAGGGTTAACTTAATGACTGGAGGGTCCGTGGTTCCGATCCAACCTCTGCATCCTGACTGCTTCTCTCTAGGCTTGGGCAGCTTGGCACTATCACCGCTGGTGCTTCCTTCGAGTGGCAGCTAGGTACCGAAAGGGTGTTACAGCTGAACACTTTTCATTCTCCCACAATAATCCGAGAAGCATTGGTCATGGGTAGGGTGTTGTCGTTCTTATGTTTACAACATTCTTGTCCGCACCGTTGTGTAATGGTTTCGACTAAACTTATTTAGTCAGCGTCATCATGATTGAGTTAGCTAGTTGATAAATGTTGGTTGATAGTTCACTAAGGAGGCCTAATTGTCCCGAGTTCTGGTGGAGTTTCCGCTCCACCCAAATATTCAACATCCCACATTAATTCCTGTGGGAATCCTCAGAGCGAACGTTGAACTTTGGGATATACACCATAGTTGTCGCCCATGGACAAGTAGTTCATCAAAGAAAACATACCCAATTGATCATGAGATGAGTTTTCTGAATCACCCAAAAATAGCAATTGGCACCAACCGTCTAGGGTCTGCCAGAAGTGTCGAACCTCGGTTTGTAATTGTAATTTATCTATGTTCTATCTGTTCTCACTCCGGTGTGAACAGACACGATCAAAATTACCGGATGCTCTCACTTCCGACTACACGCTAATCACATGTTTAGTCAGCTTGTGATGAACATTCAAGGTCCGATTCAGTACTCGGATTTCAGGCATTAGTGTTTTATCTTGAGCTTCTGGTTAAACGGCAGATTAACGATGAAATCGTACCGTTTCAGATGCGATAGAAAAAAGCACATTATTTGGCGTTCCAGGCTGAAACGGTCCGATATCACAGCTGCTGACTGACTCGACTCATCTCATTTTGAGCTGACATAATGGCCCTTTAGAATTAGCTATGCATTGTACATGTGGTTTTTCTCAGACCGTCAGTTGAGCACATATGTGCCCTGGTGTGGATTGTAGGTATTCATGAATACTGCGATTCACCTGGATCGAGGAACCCTCCATATCGGTTCTTCCCCCCTCTCCTGTTGGGAGCGGACGACCGTTGACTTTCACAGGGGTGGTGCACACGTATGCGTTTTGTCAGTGTCTATGACAGTCGGAATCATTCATTATCACTTGCCTATCTGCTCTCTTTTTAGCAAGAATTAAGTGCCCGGTTATCCTCCGCCATAGCTGCACGCCGACCATTGATGTCTACAACCCGCGCGTCGCAATTCGATGTTTCCAGCAATCCGTTCACAACCCGCCAAGAGGTGTCCGGTAGGAGATTCTCATTCAGTGGTAGTACAGCTACTTCCGATCATCCACCACCATTCAACCGCAGGTTCACTGTTCCAACCAGGTCTTCAGAACTCTCGGTGTCGGGGCCTTTTCCGAAATTGCCAGATTCTTCGACTTCTGCGACCCCCTTAACGGTCGCACCCTTGATTGTTACATCCGCCAGTGGGATGTACCACGAGTCACCGCTACATTGTCAGTCGAATCCAACCATTCCATCGCCGCATTACTTGCAACCAGTGACCAGACCTGTGGCTCCGGTCTGCTCCGGAACATGCGTTTCATACGATGCTGTCTCTGGATATTCAGGCAAGTATAAGGGGTATCCGGGGCTATTTTCGTTGAAAACTTACATCTTTTTTCCATATTTCGGTTGACGGTCGAATCACGCTTTGGCACCATGTCCCCAAGGAACAGTGAGTATTATTCAAGGGTGTTAATGTTGTTTCGTCAGTGTGAGGTATATCTACAGAGAACTAGAGTAGTAATGGGATACCAAGATATCTGCTCGAGTCAAATCAGAGAAAGAACGATTTTCAGCAACCATATATAAGGAATTTTAAATGAAGATTGTGACTGTAATGTGAAAAGAGATTTTTGGGACGAAGCTCTAACTAGGATTGGTTGTGAGAGGCGGACAGAATAGAGTAGAACAATACTGCTCCCATAGTTTGACGCACGACTGATCAGCAGCTTCTGTTGCATGATGCCTAAATGGTTTTGGAAGGAGTACCGTGTGCCGATTGGGTAACGTCGAACCAAGTGCTTTTATAGGACCTGTCACTTGCATCAAAATTCTTGCAGGCGCCCGAATCAACCAGGATGTATCTAGATGAATCTTTATCGGTTCTAAGGAACAGAACTTGTCTTATTTTCAATCGACAGAGAAATTGCGAAAGATGCCTGTCCAGGAGAAAGTATACAGTTAGCAAAGAATTTTATACCGAAATTCCGTGGAACTATGAGTAAGGCTTGTTTACCAACCTTGGAAAAATAGGGCTCTTTTTTTACTGTTGGCCAGAGGAACAATACATAATTGTTTCGTGCCTGTCAATTCGAATGGCTGCATCTTTAACCTACATGGTATGATATTTCTTTAATCTTGCTGTGGTCTTTGTCGCCGTCCAACCTGGTTTCTTGATCGTTCGGGTCGAGATGGCTCAAGTGGTCAGAACGCGAACTTACCGACCGGAAGGTCCGTCGTTCGAACCCGCCTCTCGACTCCCCCTGTCTAGGCTTGGGCAACCTGGCAGTATCCCAGCCCTCGTGCTTCCTTCGGGTAGCACGGCAACTGGGCATACGTAATCGGTGGGTACATATATAAACCAAGCGGTGCCCTGAAAGCAGAATCACCTACCAGTCTTAAACAAGAATAAGAAAAACCATAACAGAGCTTTCAAACCTCACCAACATACCGAGGTTTGATGAGGTTGATTACAAAGGTTGGGAATGATTCCCATGAAACGTCTCAAGTGAGGGTGGGAACGAGGAATGCCCTGCGTCTGATGATAAGCGATTCAAGTCCGTCTCCAATAAATATAACGATGTGATCCGCTTGCCAATCTGGTTTTTGTCAGCTGTTCCCAGAAAATGAGGTTACCACATCAGGTTTTACTGCATCCAATCCGCAGCCGGACTTCCGTATGGCAGGCGACAGCCATTCGAGTGAACTGAACTACAGTCGAGTGACAGCTGAATAGCAACCGATCGAACTGACAGACTGAGCTTACTGGGACGTGCGTGTGCGCTTTTCGATTGGCGCATGTGAATCTGTGTTTGCAAATATCCACGAAACGCCATCTACTGTGAACACGAATAGGTTTGTGGTAGAAATAAGCGAATAGTGGACAAACCGAATAGAAACGCAACGGGATCACCGATGAGACTTATTTTGCGGAACACATTTATATCGGGTTGGGGTTCCAGTCGGACTTAACTCGACTTAGTAAGCTGCGAAATCTGGGACGTAAATCCATCAGCAACCGGAGAACACAGCTTCACTACTGTGTATTCCCGGTTTGTCGTTGGGGGACGTCTTGGCCAGGAGCTGCATGCTTTTCTCATTTTACCGAAATCGTGCGGCTACTTGCTGTTTTGTGAGTAGTGAAGATTAACCGCGACACATCTTAACCGCTCGTCTCAACGGAAACACTACCTTTTCTACCGGGCAGGCTCACAAGGTCTTTTTATCCCCTTTGTAGTTGTTTCCGATCGTGGCGGGTCGCATCCTGTCGTGACCAGTGCACGTGAACCGGTCCTTCCCGCAGCCAGCACCCTCCTGGACAGCATAACCCCTTGACGAATGTTCTGTCCTCTTGGGTATCGAACTCAATTTGCAATGCAAATGGCATTTTAACTTGTGAATTGGTTTCTCCCTTCCGTCCTCACGAATTGTTTGTTATCTCTGATCCTTCTTTTTCGGATCGAATAATTTTTGGATGAATTTTGCCCGCCTTTTTGTGGCTAGCCCAAGCACTTCCCACAACCCCGACCCATAGTTAGTACGTATTATTGTAGTGTGAAGTAACACTTTTGTTTGAATATCATAGCATTTTTCAATTACCTCTGTCTGATCAACGGGTGGTAGTGAGCGACGACCGTTTTTTACACCTGTACTAATTAATAGGTGATAATCTAACTCCCACTATCTCAGGATGTTAGGCTTTTTCACTTGGCCTCATCTTGCTCCAGCTGCCACGACGTTACTCTTTGTTCTGCTTAATCCATTTCCAAACGTCCCCCAGTCCATCGTAGCAATTTTTTTTAAATTTTGTCCCAAATCTTGGCAGCTTCTATTCCCTTGTTACCATAGGCATTTGTACTTGGTATCCTCCTGGGATCAAACTTGTGCAGAACGATCTTCCCCTAGGATATTCGTACTTTCTTTATCCCATGGTTTTGGGCAACTGTGGATTTTGTATTCTGATACTTTAACCTGTATATGTCCTATGAAAAGAGACGGTCGTTTTCAAACTGGTTCCCTTTTGTGGAGCGTCTTTCTCCTGACTTTATTTGGTGGGCTAGGCGTTGTTGAGGTTGGCTGTCCAGCGTTACAGCTGACCTTTTCAATGAATTTTCTCTACAGGCATTTCCTCCCATGAATCCGCTGATACCTATTTGAATATAGATGGAGAATGTCCTGTTGGTTTGGGAACACACGCAACTCATCCATCATCGTCTGCCTGCTGTCGTCTCAAGCCTGACCCTAGTACTGAAAATATCGGCATTAAGCACAGCTTTTCTCACATTTTGCCACTATGTGATGAGTTTGCCAGACAAGGTACCTTTAACTTACTTCAAGTAGTTCAAACTGACAATCCAGTTATTTCTGCAATATCCTTCTTTGTAATACATAAAACTAGGCCTCTTTTGGAATTACGGGTCTTCTGAGTCGACGGAAAACTCGGTGCTCTTGTTCAGAGGTGCCTATGCTTGGCTTACTAACAATGGACGAACTTCACCTAACTATAATGCGATTGTGTCATGACCACTCGACCCACAAGCAGCATCTAGTTGACTGACATGCAGCAAGAAACAGACATTGTTTATGTTACAGTGCACGAATTTAATAACACGGAAAGAGCAGCCCCCCTCCCCCAGTTGCTGAGATAACTCGTTGCAGGTTCAGGGAGGCATTATTTGGCTATGTCAGTGGACCACAAACAATACTAACAGGTTGGTCCCAAATGAGCTGCAAGCCAAACAAATGCGATTGGTTGGGAATTGCGTGACATGACTAGTATATCTGGTTCGATGCTGTATTTAAACATAGAGCTGACCATGTGGAGGTAAGTGTTGGCATCGGAGAAATCACGTGCACATCTCGTTTATGGTATTTTCCCACTGCACGCACGATGGCTGCCTGGTGTTTCAGTCGGGACGGCATTCAGGATATCGAAGCATTTAGCTTCATGTGAGTGTACTCTAGAGATTGGTGAAAACTGTTGTCGCTTTTTTAGGCTTATCCGGTAGACCTAGTCTACCCAGTGAGTTTGATTAGACGTCAACTAAGAAAGATATTGGCTCCAGTATCTAGACCCAGTAAAGAATGGATTGGCACAGCAATCATTCCATATAAAGCAGGAACATCGGAGGTTATTCGAAGATTGTTGAACTTAGTCAACATTCGAGTAGCATTTCAGAAGGGAAAAACGCTACGCTTAGTGTTGGTGCAATTGAAAGATCCCCTGCCGGTTGAAAGGACTAGGAAATGTGTGTATAAAATTAAATGCAACGATTGCGATAAGGTTTATATAGGACAAACTGCCAGGGGATTGCACACCAGAATTAGTGAGCATAAAAGAAGGATTAACAAACCACCAAGGAATGCAGAAGAATACCAAACGCTGGTCAAAGACTCAGCAATGGCGGTATATGCTCTAGACACGGGACATAGAATAGATCTGGAGAATGTGGAAGCCTTAAGACGGGGACTGCGATTCACACCACAACGGCTGATAGCCGAGGCGGTGGAAATCACTAAGCATCACGGCCTGAACAGAATCGAGGGTGTGGAGCTAGCGAGCGTATGGAAAGCGGTCTTAGATAAGCCGAGTTGACACGTGACGGTGTGGTTGTCAATCCACTTAGGATCATTAGAAAAAACC